CCATTCGCCACCGGCATAGTCTGTTCACAGCTTGCAGCGAGTCGACACCACCCCGTGGTCCAGACGGAAGCAAACTCGCACGATGGATCTGCCTCGCACATACTCTGACACGCCACCGTAGCATCAGTTCCCCCGACATTACCAGCGAAGGTGGGCTCGTCCATACACACTTGACCAACAGCAAGCGATATGCGTTTGCGGCATGATCGCGACGGAGGCGACGACGGTGAGGGTGGCGAGGGCGGAGGCGAATTGGAAGGCGAAGCTCGGTCTCCCGACCAGACGAGATCGTTGTCGTGCCCGCAGCCAGTTCCCTTGCTGCAATCGTCCAGCAGCTCCCCGGAGGTGCACAGGCGTCCGCCGGCGGCCGCGCAAAGTGCTTCGGCTTTCAGCAGCGTCATGTCGCCAGGGCAGTCACCCATCCCTCCGCCCTCTGACCCCGCCCAGACTGAGCAATCCTTGTTTTTGCGCCACGGTGGGTCCTTTTCCAAGTCCGAGCAGCAGCGCACCGGGTGCAGCTCGGCCGGGTCCGCCCACCGCGGACTCTCCGAGCACCTCCCTTGCCGTCCGCACTCGACCCACGCCTGCTGGTTGAGCCCCGAGCACTGCGTGCAGCCTCCGCACGTTTTCCAGTTGCAGAGCACATCCCAGCCCTGTGTCCTTCGGGCGCACGTTTCCTTGCAGATGGGTGGTGGTGACGCCGCCGGAGGAGGAGGTGGGGACGGCGGATTGGGGCTCGCAGAGCTCGCGGCACATAATTCACAGGCTCCGCAAATGTTCCAGCTGCAGATGGCGTCCAGGCGGTGCGTCGTGCTGCCGCACCATGGCCTGCACTTGAGCTCCGGCGGCGGCGGCGGACTTGGAGCCGAAGTGACGCTCAGGGCTACCAAGGCAATGGCGGTCACCTGGGCAGTCCTGGCAGAGCGCGGCGGTGCCATTACGCGCTACCTATCAGTGAGAGGTGCGACACGATTCGTCCACTCATTGAAACGAATGAGCGATCGTCCGCTCAATGAGTTGTAGTTGCGCCTTTTTCCATTCGCCACCGGACCGTCATGAGCACTTGAGTCCTGTAACAAGCGGGATCCGGGATGTCTGGAACTGGATTCACCGAGACAGCATCCCGTGGCGTCACCTCCGGGTCATTCACATTCTGGAGCGGTTTGTATTTGCCCCCAGCTCTTCGACATACGACATTGCAAAAATCTCTCTCTAGTGTCTAGATAAGTGGCAAATGCACTGATTCCGAAACAAACGGTATTGCTAAAA